TCTCGCTCTCACTCTCTCTCTCTCTCTCTCTCTCTCTCTCTCTCTCTCTCTCTCTCTCTCTCTCTCTCTCTCTCTCTCTCTTTCTCTCTCAACGCTTTACCTGAGAACTCAGTCTCCAACTTGTGAGGAAGCCCAGGTCACATCAACAGACCATGAGTAGGTATTACAGTGACAGCTCCTGAGCTGACATCCAGCATACGTGAGTGAACAAGCCTTTGGATGATTCCAGCCCCAGCCTCGGAGTCTCCCAGCATCAAGGGCCTAAGCATCATAGAGCAGAGACAAGCCATCCACGCTGTGCCCAGTTTGAATTCCTGGCCACAGCAACCATGGGAGATAATACATAATTACTTATTATTTAACTCACCAAGTTTTGGGGTAATTCATTATGCGGCAGTAGGTGATTAATACATGTACGTGTCTGCATATATGTGCATGTATGTGCTCACACATACATAGATTTCCTACCTGTGCCCACTCAGAGTCTAGAAACAGTAACAACCCAGGAGCAACGAGCACATTGATGTGCATGTCTTAGTTTCAGGATACCATTCTCCACTACAGAAATAGCTGATTCCAGGGCTGGGCCAGAAAGAGTACAAGATGAGCTTGGAACATCCTGTATAGGAAAGTAAGGACGTGCTCAAGGAACAATGGAGACACATTTAGACAATCCAAGGGGCCCCACTGGCCATCTCAGAACATTAGAGCACAAAAATGAATAATGATTGCACATGATTATAACCTATTGAATAAAACAGGAATCTAAAATGTTACACTAACATGTTAAATGAGTGAATGAATAAATGAATAAATAGAGAAGGGGAAACCTACCTTTCAGTAGGATGCCAACTAGTATCATTTATCAATGAGTAAAAAATACTTATGCATTTTACAGTGGAGAAATCTGACAGACATAATCTCAACCAAGTAATAAAAATTAAAATGTTATCAATACTTATAGGACAAATTGATAGCACATGCCTCCTGATATGATGCTCTGAGATCACATCTGAAATATTCTTGCCAAAGATACACAGCCTGAACCTAATCGTGAAGAAACATCAAGCGAACACAATAGAGAGGGACATTCTTCAAAGTAATGGGCCTGTAATACTTATAGGACAAATTGATAGCACATGCCTCCTGATATGATGCTCTGAGATCACATCTGAAATATTCTTGCCAAAGATACACAGCCTGAACCTAATCGTGAAGAAACATCAAGCGAACACAATAGAGAGGGACATTCTTCAAAGTAATGGGCCTGTAATCTTCAAAAGTGTCAAGGCCAGAAAAGTCAAGGAAAATCTGAAGAACAGGTCCAGACTGGAGGAGACTGAAGATACATGTCAACTAAATGAAAAGCATTATTCTGAATTGGATCCTGGACCTATAAAGAATATGATTGGCACAATTGTCAAATTTGGAATGAGGCCTGTGGATTAGACAGCAATAGTAAATGTTAATTGATGGTTGGTCAACTGTGGCTTTATGGGATAAAATCTCAGTCTTTAGGAAATATGTGCTAAAGTACTTAAGGGTAAATGATACAGCATGTTTGCATTTTACTCTTAAAAAATGCTTAAAAAATATGAATATGTCAATATGAAGAGAGAATGATAAAACAAACATGGCAAATTGTTAACTAGAGTATCTAAGTGATGGAACACAGTTTGTAACTTTTCTGTAAATTTGAAATTATTTCAGTATAAATGTCTTTCTAAATAATAGGTCTTCCAAGTTTTTTGTTGGTGTTTTTACTTTGTTACTTCTTGCTAAACAGTTTTCAAAAATCAGTCCAATTTATCAAGCTTTTCTTTTTTTGGCTTTGGGAAATGTGTCCTGCTTGGGGGAGTGAGTTGAAGAAAGTCCCTGGGTCAACAGCTAATAAAGAGGAAAACTGGCAAGTTTGATCCTACTTCTGCAAGAGAAACACCAGTGGGCGTTGAGAAAGAATCACTCAACTTTTCACTGAATCCACAGCTTGGGAGATGGAAATGCGGTCCTATAGCTTCATTGCTCACTAAGCATCTTCGGTTGAATTTCTGGTAAACACCTCAATTCAGCAGAACTAGAACCCACCTAACCTCCCATGAGTCAGCCGCCCCCCTAGACCTTCCTGCCTCTGACAGCCTCTCTGGAATCCGAGCTCAGGCGCCTCCTTGTCCTCCTCTTGCTCCTCCATGTCTAACCAAAACCTGAAGTTCTTGATTCTTTCTTCATGTTTCCGTTGTGTTCTGCCATCTCCCTATTCCTGATCTTCATCCTCAAACCCGAACTGCCGCCATAGCCATGTCGATTTACCTGCCACTTGCTATCTGCGATGATCTGACCCTGGGGGAAAGTTCTCATGGACACCCCCACCTAACATTATTGCCTTAAATTATTTATTACATATACTGGTACTTAAAAATATGTGGAAACATAAAACTGGCTATCAATTTTTATCCGTGGAGCTCTCATTCAACTCTTAAACCAAAACAAATTTACAAATCAAATACAAACATGAGAGTAAAATCAATGAAATTCAAATTAACATTTAGTGCCAGATGCTGGACTGTTGGCCTCTCTACCACTCACCCCCAAGCCGTGCACTGACGGCCTCAGGATTTCCGTGTGCCTGTACTGTTGTGGGCACACTTGGCCAATTTCCTCATGATTCTCTTCTATTGGAACTTTTACAGAACTTTGGTTAGTATAGTCGCTCACCAGGAAATTGGCCTTCACTTTGACATAGAAGCGTCATTTACATATGAATTTATCCTCTGCTCTTTCTCATCAGTGTGGGACAAAGTAACTTGGTTCCATAAATACAGATGCAGATATGGGCCAATGAAACCATGACGTCATATGGGAACACACAGCTATAAATGGTCATCTAGGTAAGTTTGAGCTTGTTTAGGTTAAAATTTTAAATACTCATATCATTATTCACAATAGAAAAAAGGTAAGAAGCAAGCCAAGTGTGCATCAATGAATGAATGGATTTTTAAAATGTGGTATATATACACACAGATGGAATATTATTCATGCTTAAAAAGGAACGAAATTCTTGTCACATGGATGAACCTTCAGGACATTACACTAAGTGAAACAAACCAGTCACAAAAGGACAAATACTGAGATTCTGCTTACATGAGGTACTTAGTCAAATTCTGGTTGCTATCAGAGAGACAGAGAGTAGGGTGGCAGTTACCAGGGGCTGGGCAGGGAAATGAGGGGCTGGTGTTTGACAGGTGCAGTTACAGATCTGGGAGAGGAAGAGTTCTTTGAATGTGGTGATGGTTGTACAACAACGTACTCAACACTAAAAATGGTGAAGATGCTAAATTTTGTATTACTCATATTTTACCACAATTTAAAAAATTTTTAAACATTGTCTTGGTGAAAGTCCAAAAATTTTTAGTGTTTATAGAGAGTTCATGGTTCTGAATGAATACTTTTGCTGGCCCCACCCCCAGGAGTCCGCACCGCTTTAATCTGCTCCCCACCCTCTCCCTCTGGCCTGGGGCCCCAAGAGCGACTTCCCTCTGGCTCTCACTGCGATTCACCGTCACCTCTCAGCTCTCCCCAGCGCCCAGCCGCAGCTCCAGACGCCTGGTGGAGTCCGCCCCGCGCGACCCGTCCTCGCCGCTCTGACTGGGCTTGTGCCTTTCATCATCTGAAATGCATTCCTTCCGAGCCTTCCTCCTCACAGTGCGATTGTCCCAGGCCACAGGGACTTCAAAGGGTGGCAGCGGCCTCATTTAGCATTAATCACACGTTCTAAATTTATCAGTCATTCTCCAAATCACCAAGAAGCATTTATTGAGCATATGTCATATGCGTGCCAATGTGCGAAGCCCTTGAATCAAATGTCATGTCTTCTGCTTTTCGTCTTTCTCATAGCCCCTTACATCTTTCATAAATGCATCTTGCAGTGGCTTGGATGGTACCATATTCCACATAGGGACAGAAATTTCTGAACTACTGAAATCAAGAATAGTGTAAACTCAGGACTCGCCCAGAGTAACAGGATGTTTTGTTGTTGGTGGTGGTTTTGTGTCAATCTTAAAAGGCAGTTGTTCATACAATAAAGGTTTCAGGACTGAGTTCAACAAGGAATATGTTAACAGGAGACTGCAGTCCTAGATTTTGGATGTTTCCATGACAACAGCAGTGATGTTATTTGGTCATGACACCTGTGATCAGAGCATAAGGAACATGTGTGGTTTCCAAAGTCCCCCTGGAGGATGATTTACCTAACAGACATCTGCACAAACACAGTAACTTTATTCACATGGAAGAACAGTGTTTGAGTAGCCAATGTTTTAAGGCCACTTAATACAATCAATTTCCTGAACTCAGATTTGAGTTTTAAACGACCTATATTCAAGTTCTGGGTATTCTACTTACAGAATTTCACATGTAGCCCATTTCTTACTGCATGAAGGTGAAACGTTACCTGTATTTGTTTAATTCCCCATTATTTTGCTGTTTCAACATGATTTTGTATCTGCAGTCATTTCATTGTTAGTCTAAGGTTGCGTTTCTTTCACTCTCAGCCTTTTTGAGTTTCATTTTCTCTCTTTATGTTTTCGAGTATAGCTTTGAGGGGTAGGGTATTCCTTCCCAAGGTCTACAACAATTACCTCCCTTGAAAATGTCACTCCTTTTAAAGGTCTTCTGTGTTTTTCAACAACTGAAGGCATTTCAGTGACAGGTATGGGTGGTTTTTCCAAATTATAATCCTGCAAAAGAATGGGACAAACAGTATAAATGACCAGTTTATGAATGCAAAAAAACCTGCTTTTAAAAATATAGCTCATGTGGACATTGTTGGTGAGAAACATAAAAGCATATCTAAATGACATAGGGAAGAAGTGACAATCCATCACCATCTTATTCTCATAGCTCTGTGGCCATAAGAGCATACATGGACATATTCAAGCAGCGTTTGGTGACATGTTATTATCTCTGGAGCAGTCAAACCCAACAGCTGCCTACACCATCATTCTGCCTCCAACTGGGCATGGGTCTTGTTTTAGGATGAGATGTGAGTTGCTCTTATTAGAGAGTCCCAAACATGGTGTTAAGAAGGCCCTGGCAGTGTTTGTTTGCTGCTGCAGAAGGAGCCTGAAACTAGAACCGGACATGGGGTCTGGTCCTGAGGTCAGCCACAGTAGGGTTACCTTAAACTATTCATTTTATTTTCTTATTTGAAACATGAGAGAGGGTTGGGTCACTAGTTGATCTCCAAGGCCCCCTCCAACTCTGTGATCCTAGGATTCTGAGAAAAGCAAAATGGAGGGGAATTATTAAGAAAAACATAAATGTAAGAATGAAGGATGAACAAGTGTCTAAACTTGGCATATGTAAGTGGTTTAATAAGATGAAGCAATAAGCTAAGAAGAATGGCTCACGTGACTGTGGACATTGCACTTTTTCCAGATACAAATCTAAGTTGAGGGAAGACCACCCCTCAGTACACCTAGCTGAGTAAAAGACCTCCTTCCAGTCAGACAAATTCTAGATAGCCCCTTGAGAGCAGAAAATCCCGTCACCTTTTGACCATTTTCTCCACCATTCTCAGGCATCTGTGCCCCTTTTGTCTTGTTCTCCTCTTCATTCTCCACGTCCTCTTTGTTTTCTAAGGGTGTGGCCACCACTTCTTTACTCTGTCTCTGGACAAGAATACCAGGCCTCACAGGTGTGTTCACACCCATGACTTGCATTAGGAAAGTCCTAGAAAAGCAATCAGCAGGGTTTTTAAAATTCATGTATCTTATCCACCATTATCACAAAACAAAAATGGCTTTCTAACACATTCTATGATACAGACTTACTTTTCTTGGTCTCCGGAATTGGCAGCTGAACAATTTTTACCTCCATTAGCACCTATACAGAGTCTTTTTTCTGTCTCCTCATCTTTCTTGGTTTGGAAACTGAAAATGAGCAAGCAAAAAATTCAGGAAAGGAAGGATAGTCTTGAATTTAAGGCTTGGCATGGAACTTCACTTTTAACAGGAAATTAGCATTTCTTTTAACAGGAAAAAGTAGATAGCTACAGCACTATTATTTGCTCTATTTTTAAACTGTTCTGTATTATTTCTAGGTACATTTGCTAGTGTGACTTGAAATCTGATCCCAATTTATCAGCATGGATTTATACCATTTATATAAAAAAACCACCAGTAAAAGGAAGATGCAAATGAAGCAAATTAGAAGGATGATGGAGAAAGTGATTGCTGTGGCTTCAAAGCTCATCAGGTCAGCTGAAAACAAGTCCACTCTCACAACCACAGACTGTCCAAATATTCTCTTCCAGCCCAGTCTGAATGTAGTTCTCTTGTTCTTTAAGTTTTCTAGAAACAGAAGAATAAAAGGCTGTTTTCATTGTTGTTCTTTTGACCAGCTTCATAAAAGATACTCTGCTTGTTTTGGTGGAGCTGACTCACACTGGCTAATTTCTCTCCATAAATGAGGTGGAGGCTGAGGTGGCTGGAGGGGAGGCTGAGCTGGGACACATGTGATCACTTAGCTCAGCTCCTCTCATCCCCCAAACTATCAGAATCCGGAAGAGAGAGGAATTGGAGCCGCTGGAGCCAAGCCCATAGCTCCATTCATTTCTCTTCAGTGACATCATAGAATCATGGAACCATCGAGTTAGAGGGCCAGGGCACCAGCCCAGCCCTACCCACGCCCTCTCCTCTGTGCTGCTTTCTGTTCTCTACTCTGGGAGGGCTGGAAGAGAGGCTGCATGGTACTATCTTGGCCACTCTTTGGACTAAGCTTTTCTTCTTACTCTCCAAACACCACCATCCCTTTCTTAACCCAAGTCTGTTTCTCCTACTGCTCCTTTCACAGGCCATGAACAATCAGTACTACTTCCTTCCTATAAAATCCCTCTCTATAGCTCTAAGGTCAGTAATCAACTTACTTCCTAACTGTGTTCTCTCCAGGCTAAATAGCTGATACCCTTCTAATCCCACATCACTGGACCTACTGTCTAGACACACAAAAAATGGGCAGCTCTAGAGGCCATGGTTGAGGAAGTAGGAATAAAACAAGATGGTCAGAGGAAAGATGACCTCTGGCCACAGCCGAACTGCAGGTGAGTGAGGGCCTCCCATGACCAGGAAGAGAGAGTACAGCTAAGATTTCCTGATATGCAAAGGAGCATATAAAGGAGTAAAATGTCAGAAGGTGAGCCCTGGGGGTCTTTGGGCTGCAACAACATTGGCAATCCTCCAGAAGAGCAGGGACTATGACTTCTTTATCTTTGGGTATTCCACCAAGTCAAGGCCTGAAAATTCAGTAAATGTTGAATGAATGGGCCTCTGTGTGGCGTGTGTATACACACCAGTAGAGTTTGTTAGAGGGTTCATGCCAAGACCAATTATCAGAATATGTGAGCATCTGAACCACTCCTGGCAGTCAGCAGAATTCGGGGTGCCTCCTCCAGCCAAGGCTCCCAGATGAAGGCTCAGAGCCCAACTCATCCTCCTTACTCTGTGCTGCTGCCAAACTGAGACTATAGGAGCCCAAATCTTCTCATGTGTCATGTACAAATAAAGGATTTTCCTGGGAGACGGGGATAATTTATATAGATCTACTGGTAGTTACACAGGTCTAAACATATATAAAAACCCATCGAACTGTGTACTTAATATTAGTGCACTTTATGCCCTCTACTGTGTGGATATTATACCTGAACAAAAAGGGAAATGGGGTTGCATCCCCAGGCGTGTGTGGTACAGTGTACTGTGGAACTAGCATGCACTGCTGCTAGTAGGTCCTGGCTCCAATGGTCAGTCACCACACATATCCTGAGACCAGGGACCTTTATCAAGGATATAGTAGTAGTGACAAGTAAGGCTGGTAAGACTGCATCATAAGGGATTTTTTTTCACTGAATGTGGCTTAAGAATCAATATCGTAAGTTATATGTGTAGTTAACATAATTTTGGAAAGTGGAGGGTTATCCAACTTTGGTTATTGAATCTCATTTTAAATGCACTATATTGTAAGTTATAATGCCATGGGGTCTACTCAAAGATGGGGCTCCAGGACCTAACACAGTTCACTTTCCACACAGAAGGTGTGTGCTCAAAAATTATTTGGGTGGGACATTACTAGTAATTCTACAGAAATAAAAAATATTTCAGGAGAGTACGATATACAGTTGTGTACTAACAAATTGTATAATCTAGATGAAATGGAAAAATTCCTAGAAACACAAAACCTACCAACACTGAATCATGAAGAAATAGAAAATCTGAATAGAACTATAATAAGGAGACTGAATCAGTAATCAAAAAACCTCCCAACAAAGAGAGCACTTGACCAGATGATTTCACTGGGAAAATCTATCAAACATTTACAGAACACCAATCTTTCTCAAATTCTTCCAAAAAATTGAAGAAAAGGGAACACCTCCTAATTCATTCTACAAAGCCAGTATTACCCTGGAACTAAAGCCAGACAAATAAAAAAAAAAAAAAAACCACAAAAGAAGAAAACAAAAGAATTATATCCACTATGAACACTGAGGCACAAATCCTCAACAAAGTACTAACAAAAGAATTTAGCAGCATATTAAATGGATAATACCCAATGACAAAGTGGGCTTTATTCCTGGAATGCAAGGATGGTTCAACATACAAAAACCAACATAATACACCATGTTAACAGAATAAAGGGGAAAAAATACATGACAATCTCAATTGATTCAGGAAAGGCAATTAACAAAATTCAACATCGTTTTATGATTAAAAAATATTCAACAAATTAGGAATAGAAAGAAACTACCCCCAACAGAATAAACGTTATATATAGAAATTCCACAGCTAACCTCATAGTCAATGGTGAGAAATTATTTGTAAATCACATATCCAATAATGGGTTAATATCCAGAATATATAAAGAACTCCTACAACTCAACAACAACAAAAACCCAATTGAAAAATGGGCTAAGAACTTAAATAGAAATTTCTCTAAAGAAGGTACACAGATGGCCAAAAAGCACATGAAAAGGTGCTCAACATCACTTATTATTAGAGAGCAACAACACTTTATACCCATTAAGAAGGCTATTATTAAAAAAACAGAAAACAACAAGTATTGGTAAGGATGTGGAAAAACTGGAATCCTTGTGCATTGCCGGTAAAAAAGTAAAATGGTGTGGTTGCTGTGGGAAATAGTATGGCAGTTCCTCAAACACAGAATTCCATATGATCCAACAATCCCACTTCTGGTTATATACACAAGAGAAGTGAAAACAGGGACTCAAACAGATATTTGTACACCCATGTTCATAGCAGCGTTATTCACAATAGCCACACATCAACAGGTGAATGGAAAAACAAAATGTGGTATATACATGCAGTGGAATGCTATTCAGCTTTTAAGATTAATGAAATCCTGGTACATGTTCACATAGATGAATCTTGAAGGCATTATGCTAAGTGAGGTAAGCCAGACACAAAAGGACACATATTGATTGTATGATTCCACTAATACCAGGTAACTGAAACAGTCAAATTCAGAGACACAGAAAGAATAGTGGTTACCAGGTCAGCGTTTACTCAGGTGAGGGGTAATGGTGAGATATTATTTAATGGATCCAGAGTTTCTGATTGGGATAATGAAAAAGTTCTGGAGTTGGATAGTGGAGATGGTTGCACAATGTGAATATACTTACTGCCACTGAATGGTACACTTAAAAATGGTAAAAATGGTCAATTTTGTGTTGTATATTTTATCAAAATTAAAGAAAATTATTAGTGGAACAAAGGAAAGGCAACCCATCTGTAAAGTGGCAGGGTACATGGCAGGCACTGGAAAAACAAACAGCATATAGAGATCTTATTTCAATCTCCATCAATTTGCTCAATTAGTTTTCCCACTATGAATGTCCTATCCCCTAACTCTTCCCTTCACCTGTCCCCACCTCCAGATGCTCCAAGACTTGGTTCCTGAACTGCTTTTCCATGAGGCCATCACCACCCACCTGACTTCTTTCTTTCTTGTCTTCTCTAGGCTGCCGTTTCAATTCAGTGATGCGCAATGTCTCAGACCTGCACCCTAAGCCCCTGCTCTGTCCAGCTGCAGGCTGGCTGGGAAGTGGTGTTCTTTCACATTCCTGTCTTTCTTACCTCCCATCCCATTTATTCCTTGACCTCAGGCTCTCAGAATCCTGAAAATTTCATTTCCTCCTGTTATCAAAACCTGTTTTCCTTTATACCAAGAATGCCAGATAGAAACAAAGTGTTTCCACTCTCAAAGATATTTGTATCTTAACAAGGGCATAAAGTGAATGCATGACAGGGTAGAACTTTAGGCATCGGCCAGAGGGTGGGGAGGTCTCAGTGGAGCAGGGGGTGCTTTTCTGGTGCCCCTGGCATCTGCCATGTTGGGCTCAAACACTGACTCCTCCTAGAGTGAGCAGTTCTGCCCTGTGTTCTGCTTTCTGCCTTCACGATCCTTTTGGGCAGTGGCCACAGGGTGTACACTGCTGGTGATGGGTATGCAAGAAACTTGTGCTCCAGAGAGGTGCGGGGTGTGTGTGAATTCCCAATCACCTCCCAAAGGCCTTGACTGTGTGATCTGGTGAGATCCGCTGATGACAGCATGATCCCTGAATTGCAGGATCAAGACGAGGACATTCAGAGGACTCACAAGTCAACAGCTGCCTGAATTTGGAAACCAGGGTCAGCACAGAACCCAGGCCTGGCAGATCCGAACAGTCTACAATGCAGGGGTTGACATGAGATCTAAATCAGTTAGTCTTGATGTTAAAATATTTGTAGAAACTATCAGCACAGAAGAGAGCATGGCTGAGAGACATGGAGAGAGGCAACTTACAAATTGATTCTGCTTGGTCCAGTTGTGCCTGAGGCCATGATTTTTCAGTGTGGAATCTAAGCTGGGCTTTTAGTTGTGAAATAAGCCAATGCCTTTCCTTTTGGGCTTAGGCTGGTCTGAGTGGGGCTCATGACACTTGCAATCCAGGATTCCTGAGCAAAACACTTTGTGATCAGCATCGGGCTGCTGCCTTTCTGAGCCCTCGATTCCTCACATGAGAGCTATTAAAAGCCATGGAGCCAGTCCACCTTGCAGGACGTTAGCTTCCCTCTAGCCTCCAACAACAAGTGAAATGAAATTAGTGCCTTTTCTCTTAGTTAATCAAGTAGGACAGCCTCTTTCCCTACCACAGCTTAAGGGGCTCCTTCGAGGTCTTACTTTAGATTTTAGAAAACCAAATG